AAGGGTGATAGATGGTTGTTCTACTGTTCTAGTTCAATATCCTCTTTCCCACAGTTTGAAGTACAAAAATGAAAATAATTTTTTATCTCCTTTTTCCTGAGAATATTCTGTTCCATGGCAGAAATTTCTCCTGGATTTCTAAGACTCTACTACTGCATAGCTTAAAGCAATATTATTCAACTTTAATATATGTGGAGCATTTTGGCTGGGGAATTTTGGGAATTGAAGATCATATAGCTAAAGTGTCAACTCATAAAACATTTTGTATACCTATTTTATAGTTGTCAGCAGAAAAAAGGGGGGGTTTCAAAGAGCCGGCAGCAGTGTGGAATTGAAAGTACATTCCATTCATATTTTCTTCAGAGACTGATAAGATGACTGAAGCTTCTGCCGGGCAAAAATCTAATTGGAGAGCATGATTGATGACTCTTGGCTATGGATGTATTTCGTTGGATGATACAGCCAGAGGGGGGGGGGAAGCAGGATCAAGGGTGACAGTGAATTACATATCTCAGAGTTGGCTATGCCCAGCCCAAAGGAGTTTGAAGATGGTGGCGTATAACTAACAAGGTGAGGCTCTTGCTCCGATGGTCATTTGATCGCGAGTGGGTCCCTACCATTTCCCTTCCTGATTAAAATAAATAGTTGATTGTGGGAAGATTTGCTGTCCATCCCCGATCAAAAGAGACTCTGTTAGGTCACCACCTGCATCAGTTATCAGCAAAAATCACCCGATCCTGTGACTGAGGACCAGTTTTGGGAGAACTTGCAATCCTTGTGGCCACCCTGAAGGATTGCTTGCGCCAGGGATCCCAGAGCACCAGAGCTACTGTTTCCTTCAAAACGCTGTAGCCCAGAGCCCGTTGGAGCCTTTCCCACCTATAAAAACCTATAAAATCATCTCCTGCACCGGAGATCCTGAGGAGCCGAAGCTCCTAATTTCTAAAGCAGCGCTGTAGCCTTAAACCCGTTGGAGCCTTGATCAACGGCAGAACTCCAACTGCCGAACTTCCAACGGCTGAGAGCCTGATCCCGGAGCACTAACCTTCCAGTAAAACTGCTGCCCAAACTGCCGCCTACATCATCAATCATCTGCGATCATCAAATCCCACACAGTAGCCTAATTTCTAAGATCGCAGACCAAAGACAAGGGGATCCGTGAGAAGACAGACCTAAACCCTAAGATTGCTAGCTGATGATCTGAAGTAACAAGTGAAGATTAACCTTCTGCCAAAAGACTTTCATAGTTACCTTCAGCCTAATATAGCCCGAAGACAAGAAGATCCGTGTGAAGACAGATCTGGTTCCCAAAAATCACTAACTGAAGATCTGAAGAAATGTGTAAAGAGTAACCTCCTGCCAAAAGACTTTCATCTATACCTCCAACCTAATATATGCCTTCTTCCTATACCCCCCAGGACCATCCAAACTAAATCTTCTCCTCTTCCTCCCATTATTCTCTTCCTGCCCTATTTTTTCCCAATATAACTCCTTACTTCCTCCAGACCCACTACTTCATATCTTAAATGCAAACTACTTAATGCAAGAAGCCTCACAAATAAAATGCATGAATTCCTCATCCTTCTAAGCTAAACCACATTTGACATTATATTTGTATGTGAGACATGGTTAAATGCATCTTTCTCAGACTCCATTACCACTACAAGAGAATATTAAGTTTTTCGGTCAGATCGCGAAATCCGTAGAGGTGGTGGAGTTGCTATATTCTATAAAAAGTCTCAATCTAAAAAAGATCCAAATTATACAAGAGCTAGCTCTTCCCGAGACCATCATATGTGAACTGTCCTTAAACATCTCAATCCGCTTCTTACTTTGCTATCATGCCCCTGACTATGATATAATTCATGCAAACAAGCTAACTTCACTACTGACATGGGCTGCCTCCTGCCTACACCCTCTCATTTTTCTTGGTGACCTCAACTTACCTCTTATAAATTAGACACTAAATGAATGTACATCTGAACCCATTCATACAACCCTGTACAATGCTGTTACCACACTAGGACTGGAACAACTAGTAACCAACAACACTAGACTTAAGAACTGCCTTGCTCTCATCTTCTGCAACAGTTTGAATTCAATTTATGGAATACAAATTAATGAACCCTTTTCCAACAGTGACCACAGCATGATTGACTTTTGTCTCAACATAGGTCCTCACAAAAATCACTATAACAACTATAACTTCAAAAAAGGCAACTATGATCTTATAGACAATGATCTCTCATCTCTTGATTGGCAAATTCTATTCACTGGATGCAATACAGTTGAAGACTACTACAACATATTTTTACTTGAAGTCAAAAGAGTCATCTAACTATATGTACCAATAACAACTCCCAAAACCAGAAAAAGCAGATTACCCATAATAATAAGGAAGCTCCAATCCAAAAAGAAATCCCTTTGGCGGAAAAACAAATCTGGTCACGTTGCCAACTTTAAAAGCCTATACAAAAATTTATGCCACCAGATAAAGACTGAATGTACCAATTATCACACTAAACAAGAGGAAAACCTTCTACACACCAATTCCACTCATGCTTTCTACAATTTTGTAAACAACAAACTAAAAGACTCAAGGTCCATCCCACCCCTAAAAGAACCAAATGGTAAAGACTGCAATGACGACACCATTAAAGTCAACCTCTTTAACACATTCTTTGGCTCAGTATTTGTAAACAGCAATGGATGCATGCCCAATATTTCCGAGTCGAACCACAGACAACTACAATGATCTAATACATATCGATTTTACAGAAGACAATGTTGAAAAAGCACTGCGCAATCTAAAACTATCTCTATCTATTGGACCGGACGGAATAGGTGCCTACTTCTTAAAAAAGCTATCCACTGCCATAGCTGAACCTCTAAGCATAATCTTTGAAAAATCTTTCAGGACCAGCTCCTTGCCAAATCTATGGTCACTAGCCACAGTCATTCCCATCTTCAAAAAGGGAGACCCCAGCCTAGTTGAAAATTACAGATCAATCTCTTTATGCTGTGTCACCTGTAAAGTCATGGAATCAATTATTAACCAATCCATTATCCTCCACTTAGAGACAAACAATCTACTCTCTGACAAACAGTTTGGTTTCAGAAGGAAACTGTCCTGTAACCTGCAACTCTTGCACTGTAAAAACATATGGACTACACAACTTGATCAGGGCAAAGCAATTGACTCAATTTACACAGACTTCTGTAAAGCCTTTGATTCAGTGGTACATGACAAACTACTCCTAAAACTAAAATCTTATGGTATCTCTGGATACCTGCATTAGTGGATAGAAGCATTCCTGTCAAACAGGCAACAAATAGTCAAAATTGGGAGCATCCTATCATATCCTGTACCTGTCAACAGTGGTGTCCCCCAAGGCAGTGTTCTAGGACCAACTCTCTTCATACTCTATATTAATGACCTCTGTGATTATATTAAGAGCAACTGCGTTCTTTTCGCTGATGATGTAAAGCTATTCAACACTTCTGACAATGCTGCTACCCTTCAAGCAGACTTTGACTATGTGTCAGAATGGTCAAACAAATGGCAACTTCAAATCTCAACAAATAAATGCTCTTTCTTACATATTGGCAAAAAAAATCAAAAAATAAAATACAAGCTGAATAGTCAAGGCCTTGTTGATGACAAAAACTTTGTCAAGGATCTTGGAGTACTCATCTCAAATGATCTAAGTGCTAGAGCCCACTGTAACTACATAGCCAAAAAGTCATTAAGACTTGTTAACCTAATCCTGCATAGCTTTTTCTCCAGTAATATCACTCTACTAACTAAAGCATATAAAACATTTGCTAGACCAATACAGCTCATCAGTCTGGAACCCACATTACATATCTGATATTAATACAATTGAGAAAGTCCAGAAATATTTTACGAGAAGAATCCTCCACTCCTTTACTCGTAGCAGAATACCTTATGCCACCAGACTTGAAATTTTAGACCTTATGCCACCTAGAACTACGCCGCCTTCGGTTCTATCTAAGTATATAAAATTATATATTGCAATGTCCTACCTATCAATGAATACTTCAGCTTCAACCAAAACAATACAAGAGCACAAAATAGATACAAACTAAAGATAAACCACACCAAACTTGATTGCAGGAAATACGACTTCAGCAACAGAGTAGTCAATGTCTGGAATACTCTACCTGACTCTGTGGTTTCTTCCCCAAACCCCAAAATCTTCAACATTAGACTGTCTACTATTGACCTCACTCTTTTCCTAAGAGGTCTGTAGGGGGCGTGCATAAGTGCACCAAAATGTGCCTACAGTCCCTGCCCTATTGTTTCTTTTTTTTTCTTATTCGTATCCATGTCATGTATTTATAACCATGTTTATACTTATACCTGTTATATAATTGTTTGACAAAACAAATAAAATAAATAAATAAATAAATAATGCCGGAATGTTAACTTCCAATAAATCCTTAGTTTTGGGAGTGTGGCTTGAGGCTCATGATTTAATTAGAGTAACTGCCAGAATCCTGACTTTGCTGAGATTCAGAAACTGTAGCTTAGAGGATGGTTGTTCAATACACTATATCTCCCAGTATTCTTCCTAATTGACCCATGCAGCTATAAACTATCATGTTTCAGATAATCTGCAAGATCACCCAATATTAAAGTTTCATTGAACTTGCAGAATTCAATTTATTTGCTGTGATATATTAAATATCAATTATGTCAATGAACCATGCAGAGCTGAATTCTGAAAAATCCTGGACTACTGCAGCATTGTCATGTGTTCCTGCCATAGGCATAATTCTGGATAACCACGCAGGATTGCTATAACTCAAAAACTGTCAGACATTATCCTACTTTTGTCCATCTAAATGTTTTTAATGCTTTCTTTAAAAAAATGTTTGGAAACTTAGAAAAATTCCTTATTTAGGAAGCAAGACCTGAATTAGAAATGTTACAAAATTATGTCTTTATGTGTTCCTGAAAGCAATTTAACACTTACCTTCTGTAAATCTGGAGTATTCCCCTCCACTTTTCATCGTTTTGCCTTTCTCCAAGAGTCCAGCTCTTCTTTCTAGCCTGCTCCATTCATTTTCTGCAGCTGCTTATTTCAATCATTTGTTCTGTCAATCTCCTTCTCTCCTTCCACTTTCTGTTTTGACTTAGGACAGCATGATATTTACCAAAAATGGGACTTGGGGGACTCATGGCACCTACTTTTTCTCACTCCCATCTTAAGATGACCCAAGGTTCTCCAAACAGAACTTTTTATATGCTATAAATCAAGGGAAGGCTGGATAAAATATCTCTGTCTATCTGTGATATTTATATGTCACCCATCTCGGCTACAGGGTAGGAAGGCAAAACCTTTAACCTGTTTATGGGTAGAATGTGTTTAAGTGAAGGGGATTTAAATCATTTGCTACAACTATCTTCTCTGAATATTGCAATGAATGCTTCCACACAGTCTTTAAATAAGGCTAACAAGGTGTATATACCCAGTCTAGGACATTTAAGTATATAATATCTGTTTCTCCTGCACATTAAAAGAAACTCCATCTGGTTAAACAGAATATTTCAATCTTAAAATTAATGGTGCCTCTTTTACATTAACAATCTGCACATTGGAAGTTAAAAGAGATTAGAATGCTAATACTTGAAATATTTCCTCTTTACAAATATTGCAAGAAGTACCAAAAGAGCATGTAGGTCTTTTAAATAATTACATTTTGACAAACCAATAGTCTAGTTGAATTAGAAGAACTACTCTAATGAAAGGTTTGAGTAACTATTTTGAACTGCAAATTATTCATTGAAGCCATGGCTAACACAAAACATGGCCTTGCTTAAGGGAACCCAGTTGTTTTTAATCATGTATAAGTTTCAGTGGGATGAATGACTTGTAGGTGATTGTTTTATTTGATTCACCTGCAAGAATTAAACATATAAAATAGCTACAAGCCAGGAGGAAATTATATTTCTTGGGGAGGTGGCTAAAGTATGATGTACTAGGGTTTATTTTGCTTGGTTTCTGTTGGTAAAGTTTGCCAGCCCTAGAGCAGTAAATTTATATTAGTGCTAACTGGGGAACTGCACTTTGGTAATCATATGGTCTATCAGGCTAAGTAAAAATAGGAAGATATATTTTTATCACTAAATAAGCTATAACTTTGAACAGTTTTGTAAATCTTCTAAGTTCTACTTTAATTTCAGATCTTTCTTACACCATCTTACATCAGGAAGTTTTACCAAGCATGAATGGAATAATAGATGTCTGAATGTTATATTTATATGTTGAATTGTAATTGATTTTTTCATCTTAATTTGTATTCCTTTCTCAGATTTATTTACACCATGGCAGAAATGGAGGATTCTGATTACATAGTTTCAGATGAAGAGGTAAGAATGCTTTCTTAGGTTTGTTTTGAACCAAAGGTTGATAGGTTTCTGTAAATGTAGAACTAATAGGAAGCCATAGCAATTGTGTCCATTTTTAGCAGCATATCATTTAACTAAGATTAATTAAATAAACCATTACAATAGTTAAATCCTAGCTATATTAAACTATAACTTTGATTTATGAAAATACAGGCATGGAAAATCCTTAACCTTCCAAATTTCAGCTTGGGAGCCTGCCAGGCTGATTTCCCAGTTTTAATAGTCTCAAAATTCAATATCAGGTTTGAGATAAAATCTAGTTTGAGGGCTTCTGGCAGTTTTATATATACCGATACCTAAAACGAATAATAAATTCTGCACTTTTGAAATAAGTTAACATTTCCCTTATATCTTTAATCCTGCTGCTGAAAACTCTAGCCTTTTCCATAAAGAACACTGTATGGAACAAATAGCTTAGCTTGTTCATATTAACTTGGTAAAGGAACAGTAATTGATTTGTTTGACCTCGCATTCTTAAACTAATAGTGTGATAGCTGTGGGAAATGTAACAATACAGGAAAAGGTGGATATAGTTCTGAAAAGCTGTTAAAGACAGCTACTTCTAGTAACTGTTTAGTAGCAATAAAACACTTATAAAAACATTGATAAATAGGATGGAACAGCTGAAAAGTAGTAACCATATTCAAGGTGAAGATTCAAGACTGAAGTGGAAAATTCACCAGGTAGAGTTTGAAAAAACCGCCCCAGGAGAAGCAAGGGATTATTAACCTTTGTGTAACTTTAAAGAAGGTGAGAATTAATCTAAGTTTAGCTGTTTAAAAATGTTTACACAATTATCAGACATTTTGCTGGCAAACTAGAATATAGTATGGACAGTATAGTTTTAGTTTATTTAAACTCAAAATTTGTGGCTTCTTTTTAAAAAGCCTGTGGCAGGGTGTGTTACGTAAATTCAGTTTTTATGTGCCGGGTAGATGACCTAGGCATGAAATTGAATGAAGAAATCGCTCCTTTCTGATCTTTCTGAATATCTCATTAATTTTTTATACTTTTAAAATTACATTCTTCTGGAACACTTTACCATATAAACTGCAGTTAGAGAACATTATTTTGTTACTAATTTATGGAAGAAGCAATCTTGGAAGTTTGTGATAGTCTTTGACTTTCAAGAATGCACCAGTTTAGTTTTGTCTTCCATATGTTAAAAATACTTGAAATTTGTTTTTTTTTTAATGTTCAATCCTGAATTTTATTAATAGCATGTCATTTTATTTATTATATTTATATCTTACTTTTTATATAACTTAAGCAAACTTAAATGCTTCCATCTATGCTCCCTACAAAGACTACTCTTTGAAGTGAGTTAGGCTGAAAAAAGTGACTGGCTTAAAGTTACCCAGATGATTTCTATGCCTAAAAGAAGATTAGAAATCTGCATCTCTAGTCTAGCACTATAACTGCTAAACCAAATTTGCTCCGACTTGATTCAGATGTTTGATCCCAGGGAAACAAGAAAATTTACAACTTTGTGGTTCATGTTAACTTGAAATTTTGACCAATTATGGCTTATAGCAGGTATCTTAGACTAATATCTAAAAATGAGCCTGATATCATTCATATGCTGGTTATTTCAGGTCTGATTACAGCTAAACTTTCATTGTTGGTTTGCCTTCTGTTTAGACATTTATTTTGATGTTTTGGTTCTGGCAGGTGAATGATTTAAGTCCTACTCATTGGTTAAATGTTATTGTTTTTTATAAGATCTTGGATTTTAATAACAAGTGTCTTTAAAATCCTGTCATATACTAATTCAATGTATATTTTTAAAATACCTGCTTTTCATATCATCTTTCCATTAATTTAGATGGGTAGATAATAACATAGCCTTCGCTATGGTTACCTCAAATCTCCACAAATCTAAATGTTTCTTTAGATTCACCAAGCTGCTGGTTTTTTTCCACAAGGAAGCAAAAGCAATATTTCTATTGCTATGATTTAAATAATGGAAAAATGGCCAATACAGGTAGTCCTCAGGTTATGAATGGTCACTTAACAATTGTTTAAACTGACATTAGACTCCAAAAAAAGCTATTTATGTCCTATCCTCCAAGTTATGACTATTGCATCACCCTTGTAGCCATGTGATTGCATTTCATTCATGTGGCAACTGACTCATATTTATAATCAGTTGCAGTATCCCATGGTTATGTGATTATGTTTTATAATCTGGCAAAAACCAGCAAAAATGCCCATTGGATGAACTGGATTTGGATTTATGCATTGCATTAACAACAGTGGCAACTCACTTAATCATGGTAAAAATGGTCATAAAATCAAGTCAGGTGGTGACTCAACATACAACCACAATGGCTTATGAAAATTCTAGGCTCACTTGTCATAATTTGAGGGCTACCTGTAATCCTTTTAAAAAAAACCTCTAAATGTGTATTCTGAGATTTATAAATTTAGGATATAAGACTTTTATTCAATTTCAGATTTCCACAAACAAGGAGAGACATTCTCGCCTTGGAGAGGATAATCTTGATGATACGCTGGAATATGATTTTTCTGGTGAATGTTTAAGAGTCAACAAAATTGAGAATATGAACGCTAAGAAGAGTGATTTATTGAATGATCAAAATATTGGACAAGAGGCTGAAGCTGAAAAATTTCCAGGTTCCAAGGAGTTAATAGTATCTGATCCTCTGACTCATATTCCAAAGACTCAAGCATCTGTCCCATATTGTGGTTCTCTCAGTCCTTGCATCTCATACTTAAAAGCTGAAAATAGTGCAAACATAAAGGAAGGTATTACTGATTTAGAGAGAGATAAATATTAAAAAAATATCACATGGATCGGGGCAATAAGTGATTCAGTGTATCCTTCTGCATGTACCTACACATTAATGCATTTTTACCCAATTTTTGTTTGCAATTAAATGCAGGATTTGGATTTGATGAATGCTATTTCAGAGAAGCTATTATATTTATGAATAAATCAAATGTCTATATTTAAGTCTTTTTAATGTCAAATGTGTAAAGTTGATCCTAAATGTCTGAAGGCAAAAGAAGAGGAATTGTCCAAATTCAGCAAATAAAATTATGTTAATGTCTTTCCTTCAGCCAGTAGGGACCATACATTGGTATAATCCTGTCTATGCAACTTGATAATTCTGTCATAGCTGAAGAGCACAATTTCTGCTTGCTAGTAGGTTTCCATGGTTTGTAAAACCAATTGGTTGGTCTTAGTTTATGGTTTGTCTTCTATATCTTTATGAATTACAGCCCTATACCCAAGGGGGGGAGAGATGCTGAAAAGTACTAAATAAGGTTCAGCCCTCAAAGCCCTTCAAATTGAATATTATCCAAAGGGTAACTGTTGAATTCTGTTGAATTTTAATATATAGATAGCCTCTTTGACTCCTAAAGTCAGAAAAGGAGTCAAAGAGGCTATATTAAAATTCAACAGCCCTCCCGTAACAAAGGGAAGAAGGATTTGACACCACCTGTCTTCTGTTTACAACAGCAATCCCAGGAAAGTTCCTTACCCATTTGTACTCAGGTGACTCTGAAGATACAGATAAACCCTCAAGTGGCCTCAACAATTGTCAAGGTGCTAACAGGAAGGCTGCAAAGAACACAAATCCTAAAAACAAATATCCCTTGTATTCTTGGATGCACAGAAGGCCTCTGACAATCTAAATTGGCAATTCCTAATTCAACAAATTTACAATATGAATCTAGGCACTAAATTTGAAAACATCGTGACTATAATTTATGATTCACAAAAGGCGAATATTATAATTAATGGAGAGTACACGCGCTCAATAAAAATAGAGAAAGGAGTCAGGCAGGGATGTCCATTATCCCCCCTGCTCTTCACATTATCTTTGGAAACATTGCTTACACGAATTAGACAGAACCCAGGAATAAAAGGACTACAAATTAAAAAAGAAGAATATAAACTCGTCATTTGCAGATGATATGGTATTTTTCATAGAGGAACCAATTGAAACAGGTCAAGAATTACTGAAAGAGATCATTTTGGGGAAGTTGCAGGACTTAAAATTAATAGGGAAAAAACAAATAACTAAAAATTTAACAAAAACAAAAACTAAAATTGCAAAGGATAATGGGATTACAAATAGTAAAAAAGTTAAATACTTAGGAATTTGGTTGACGGCTCAATGCAAAACTCTAATGGAAAATTATAATAAATTATTACAGCAAGTTAAAAAAGATTTAGAGATATGGGTTAAATTGCAAATCTCCTTATTAGGGAGGATTGCCACTATAAAAATGAATATTCTGCCCAAATTTATTTACTTATTCCAAACAATACCAGTAAAAATACATAAAAATTACTTCGTGGAACTTAACAAGATAATTACCAAATTTATCTGGCAAGGGAAAAAACCAAGGATAAACCTAAAGGCAATGCAAGATATGAAGAGCAGGGGAGGTATGGCACTCCCAAATTGGGAATTATACTATAGTGCAGCCTCCTTACTCTGGTTGAAAGAGTGGGTAAATCTGTCGAATAAAAGGACCTTATTTTTAGAAGGCCATGATTTACAGAGGGGATGGCATGCATTTTTATGGGACATTGGGAAAATTAAGCAGAAGTATTTCCACAGACATATAATTAGAGATTCCTTATTGGCTAATTGGAACAAAATAAAAAAAAACATTATTTAAAAATCCCAATTTGGATCTCAACAATGGAGGCGATCATACATCCAAATAATCTAGATCTTAATAAAATGATAAAATACAAAGACCTCCTTGATGCGCAAGAAACTTTAAAATCATGGCAAGATCTCCAAGAACAGGGGCTACAAGTAGACCGGTGGGCTTACTTGCAAATTCAAAATAGATATAGCCAGGACAATAAAAATTTTGGAATTTATACTAAGGCACAACAATTAGATAAAATTTTATTAGGTCCAGATAAAAAAAATAACTAAATTTTGTAATTATTTACTAGAGATGGAATTAGAAGAGGAAGTAGTCAAAGGCAACATGATAGCTTGGAGCAGAAACATAGGATGTAGCATTACATTATTAGAATGGGAAAAGGTTTGGACAAGGAATAATAAAATTACAAGATCAGCAGCATATAAAGAAAATGCCTATAAAATGTTTTATAGATGGCATCTTTCACCCTCGAGAATAGCGAAAATGTCTCCTAACATGAATCCGAATTGCTGGAAATGTAAAAAGAAACAGGGAACATTCTTTCACATGTGGTGGTCCTGCACTGAAGCCCAAAGATACTGGCACAGAATAAAAAAATGGTTAGAGGAAATAACGGTGGAGCAAATTGAATTAAAACCAGAATTCTTCCTATTGGGGATATTTAATAGACAAATTCCTAAAAATGTCAAATATATAATACTGCATATTCTTACTGCAGCCAGAATAACCTTTTCACAGTGTTGGAAACAAGCAGATATTTCAACAGTGGAAATGGTTATACAGAAGATAACAGCTTGTGCAGAGATGGACAAGTTAACCTTAGCACTTAAGGAAAAAGAAACATCAGAATATTATAGAAGCTGGGAATGCTGGTATGACTGGATAGAACAAAAATAGAAAATATATTAGTAAACAACGGAAAATGTAAAAGAGGTAGTAATTATATATTCGCAATAAGATGTATTTGTAAATGTGTCACCAATATTGATAACAAACAAGGAACCATAGACCGTCGAAAGTTGAATTGTGAGTTTTTAATCATTTTCTTTTTTTTCTATTTCTTTTTTTTCTTCTTCTGTGTGTTGTGTTTGTTTGATATTTTGGTTTTGTAATCAATATAGTTTGTCTTTTTTTAAAAAAGAATACAAATCCTTCCATTCCCCACAAGTTAGTCAAGCTTCTTTGATGAGAAGTGAAAGGTTTTCAAAGAAAAGCAAAGCAAGTCCAGTTGCCTTTTTCAAAAAAACAAAACAAAAACCAGTGTACAAAGGCAAATATAAATGTAACAAACATAGTAGATCGATTCCTATGTCTGGAATAGGGCAGCTAAAAGAAATGTTCTAGGTTCAGAAGCAATGAAATAGGAAGATGTGCTGTATGTTAAAAATGTCCATTTTTTCATTTCTATAAGTGAAGAAACTTGGCAATGCTGTAGAGAGCATCTCAATTATAATAAGTGGATGAACAAACAAAAATGATACTGCTGTTAGCCTATATAACCAAGAGGAAACTACTTCTAAACAAAAGTGTAGTTAAATTATAGGAAAGCATATTCCAACTGAATGTTAGGTGGAAAAATGTAATAGCAACATTAGTGTAGTAATGGATCCTACTATTCAGACAGGAGATGGGCTTTCTTCATTGTGTTCACAATTTGGTTAGATTCTCCTCTTTCTGGAATGCTTTGAACTGAATTCCTGTTTTGAACACAATGTTAGATTTAGAAATAGAAAGTTCTAAGGCTTAATGCGCTAAATCACGGGTATCAAATTTATGGCATCACATTGCTGTCATGACATTTCACAACATTTTTTCCTCTTTGTGGAGCTGGGTTGGGCATGGCCTGTGCATGACACATCCACCCCGTGGGCTGCCAGTTTGACACCCTTGGGCTAAATGGTTCCTTCCAACTTGTGATTTTACTGTTCTATTTTATAAAATATTACAATATCTCAGTGCTTTCCTTTCATGATAGGAAAGACACATTTTGTATCAAAGCTTGGATTTCAAATAACATTGATTACAGGAATAGGCCATTCATGAAAAGATTGTATTTGTTAACCTCAATGTTTTGTAACATTTTAGTTACAAAGTCTAAAGAATACATCCTGTTTCATTTTACTTTGAAATCAGGTTTACCGTTTTTGGTGGATAGAAATTCTAACAGTACACATATGCTGAAATCATATGCTGGGAGTCTGGACCCTTGACAATTTCCCAGTTTTGTGAAAAATTCCTTATGTGCTGAAGTCAATGTTGCATTTCAACACCATCAGAAACAACAGGATCTGAAGCTGAATTATCTTTTTAAAGTATTACTCCTGTTTAAGTATTTAGGGAAAGTAAATGCAATTTACTTTATCACAGCATGAAATAAATCACCACATGGAACAGACAGAATTTTATATTTATGAAACTGGAATTATGCTGCACAACTGCCAAATTTCATAAATCCATAAAAATGGCCAACAGCCATATGCATTGAATGTCTGCTGAATATAGTTAAGTGAACATTGCTGCAGAATTTAACCACAACTGCAGTATATCATGTTCTAGTCTGCATGGAGGTGTTTTTTTGTTTTTTTTGCGCACGTTTCCCAAAAGGACACATTTCTCTTATTAAATACTCCTTTCTTTTAAAAGATATGTTTGATTAAACTGGTACATATTTTCTAAAGGGGCATCAAATATCATTTAGCTACTTGCCAGGAATGACACTCTGACAAAGTTCAAGATACCTGAACTTCAATTAACTGCATCAAGGTATGAATATCTTATTGCAGCAAAACAAATACATTTCCCTCTCCTTACATCAAATGTGTATACTTCATTTTTTATGGAGTAATATGTTTCAAAACTGGTTTTCATTAAGGAAGGAGATTTTACATGCAGCTCTCACAGTTATAATTTCAGTGTTTCAAGAACATTTATTCATGCACACCACCCACTATTAGCAAATAATAAGGCTGGAAGGCACTCTTCAGTCAATGTGTTTTAAAAATATGTGAATGTTTTGGAAAACAGGAAATTCTTAATCTTTTGGAGCCAAAACTGTCTTTATTGCTATCCTGTAATGCTCCCCT